AACCAGCAAATCAGGAATAGCAGACCATGTTTGGACCCATCAACACAACATCGAGTGGTCCCAAGCTGAGATCTTGGACAGAGAGGAACATTGGTTTAGGAGAAAATTCAAGGAAGCCGCATACATACTGCCCAACAACGTATTCAGCCAAGCCAGCGTAGAAATACGCAACATATGGAAACCCATCATCAAACGAAAAATGGCCAACTCCCGCCAAAACGGTCTTCTCTCACGGAACCAGTGAAGCGGAAAATGGAAAGCGGAGATAACCGAAAGTGCTCGAACGACCTATAAATAGTCATCTCTCGGAGGAATCAGTCCAGTCATCACCAGAAGACGATTGTGGATACTAACAAGCGAAACGTCGTGAACTAACGTGACTTGGAATCTCTACACTTTTTATTATTTTTTTTTTTCATTCCTTCATTTTTATTTATTCAATTGTTATATTTTCACTTGTAGGTTATTTCACTATTATTTCATTTCAGGTTTATTGTTGCTTAATATAATTGTTATTTTCAGCTATTCATTTTCAATTATTCTTTTTTAGTTGTTTCAAGGATATCAAATCATTTTATATAGTAGACAATGGAAGTCCGAACTAGTGAAATTCATCATGAAATATTGTCAATCACCTTCAAACAAACGGTGAATCTAAGGCATCGTCAGGTGTAGCTGACGTGCAAAAACACTCATATGGAAAGGTTGTCGCGGGTATCAGGGTGAGAATCTTGCACCTTGACTATCTGACTACCTCATCAACGATGAAACAGCAGAGCACAAACTAAGCTGGGTTTGTTTGGCCGAGTGTGAATAGTTGTGAGCCACAATAAACCTTTGCAGGTTGCGGTGGTGGGTCGAATAAACCCACTCACTTTTGACCTAACCTAACCCAACCTGTTTCGGTTTGTTAGACCATTATCAAGTCTTGATTTTAGGGGGGATCGAACACAAAATCTCCAATTGAAAAGTTGAGTTTGGTGGCACCCAATTTGTGTCGAAGTATCATCCTCTTCACTATTTCACATTTCTTTTGTCTATCAAACAAATGGAAAGGTAATGAAAGCCAAAACTACTCGAACTGTTCAAAATTTTATATTTTGTTTTATCAATGTAAGTGAAAATAGCTATCACGATACCATGAATCCAATAACATCCTGTCAAAGAGGATCCCTTTTTTATAATACAAAAGTTCAATATCTACTTGTTTAATCATGCTATATACAAGTTGTCTTAAGTGTTAAAAATCGATAACTGGTATTGATTTATTAGTAAAATCCTGATCAGCTCCAGGAGGTATGTACAAAATAAGATAATTAAAAATACACAACAATATATTACTCCAAGATAACCTAGCTGCTAAATCATATGTTTCATAATGTACAAGAAAAACCTATTTCACAATTAAATACTGTCCAGAACTTAACAATATAAGATGATTGTTCCTTAAGCTAAAAAATAAAACACGCCAAAAAAAACTTGAGAAAATAGATATTCGTTTTACTCCTCATGAATGGGGAATGTTCCTCAATTTGGGTTATTGCATCAAATGCAAGTTTGAACAAAATAAAGTTGAGTTTAATTCATGAGTTTTTCAAATTCACTTCGAAAAGTATTCAAATTGATGTTTCAAATGTTGGGTTTTAATTTTCAAAGGGATTTGTTTCTAATCAACATATTGGCAACAGCGCCTGGATCAAGTTGAAATAATTTATAGGTACCTAGATATTCTACTCTAAAAAAGGAAAATAATCTTTATAAATCAGCAATTAAGGCAAAATATAAATTATAGTTCAATACCACCTCCTTAAGCCACATAAACAACGGTTGTTTTGTTATTTATTTATATAGAGGAAGATAGGTTAGGTGCACAAAATGTCATATGTCACAGAATGTCTCGGAACATAAGTAAACAGAACAGCATGCCTCTTGAAATATGTCATCTTTGTTTCTCTCATACAGGTAACAGATTGATTGTCCTTTATTAGCTATAACCGATGTTGCCAAATGGTGAAATAGAAACGAATCCCTTTAAATGTTGAATGCATTATTTCATTCCTCTTTTTTAAATATTCAAATAATTTTTTAAAGAATAAGGTTGAAATGATAAGTTTAAAATGCGTTGTTTTAGAGCTCTTTTATGAAAACTACTTGATTTTCGTCAGGAGGAACATTCCCCATTATGTGAGCTGGCAAAACATTCCACAAAACCACAGAGGATTATCGAACACTTCCATAATACCATTGAAATGAAAAAGTTATTCAACTATTCATTTTCTTTTGAATCCAACATCCATCCCTTCGACACCCCATGAAAACATCTTCTGTACTCAACTTCGCAGTAAAAGTTCTTCATTCAAAATATATTTTTCAAGCGCAAAAATTCATAACAATTCCTCAAAACACGAGCAGTGACCGAGAGTGAAGTTGATGTCTAAGCTTCAGAGCTACAATGAGAGTGAACGATGCCTCGAGAATGAAATGTGAGGGCAGATAAGACTTCCCTCCGACAAAAAATTACTTTCGAATAAAACATGTCTCAAACAAATTATAAACCTGAGTCTGCCCATCACAAAAAAACAATTGTGGTTTGTAAATTATATAGAAAAGAGTATTTGAAAGATCGATCCACACCTACCGTAGCCTGGCTTTAGCCATCACCCACAGATTCACATCTCGCTTCGACCCCATGCCGTTTAATGCGTGCTCAAACATTTACTATGTCCGCGTAAGCTCAGTCTGTTCAGTGATTTGAACACCGATAGCAAGCTTCAAACAATCAAAATAAATGTATTTCCCAATAACGAATTCAATATAAATATAGATATGTGTATAATATATATATATATATCTGCAGGAAGTCTCTCGTAAAAAATACAAGGTAAATGAGCAAATATCCAATTAAAAAACGAATATACGAGACGCTTCCGCAAGCAAAGCACTCCATCCATTATAAAAATATATATGTATATGTCGCATTTGAAAAACATCCAAATTGTATGAGAAATCCTCGGTAAAAAGTGTTATCAAACATAAAAAGCAACTATTATATTTTGCACCGGCCGCCTTCGTCCTTTTTATCAGGATGAAATTATTCCCAGATCCTGAAAAAAAAAATCTCATTGAAAATACAGACAGGCAAAAACATATCGTAGCCCATACTATGAACTATTTGTTTAAGTAATTGACTGTAAGAGATATGAATCAATTCCAACTATTTCAAATTTCCTCATTTCATGGTTAATAATCCTAACAGTACATGCCACTTCTTCTTGTTGGAGTCTAGATTGCAATTTAACATAACTTCAAACAAGAGTTATTGCCTTATTCGAATATTTCGAGTTATTCTATAGAATAATAATATGCTTAGTTTGTGTTTGCTAATTCTGATAGACAAAGCCACACAAATGGTCTACCATGCCGAAAGGAAGCAAAGACCATAAAAAAAGAGAAGAAGATATCCAAATCCATCAGGAGGACCGCACAGTGGGCGACATCTATATTTTAAAATTCAAATGGCAAATTCAGGGCTTACCTGAATCAGGTCATGAGAAAATGTAGTCATAAACATACGAATATTAGTAGTTTTGAAAACTGTTCTTCAGTTTCTCTAAGATCACAATAAAACAATCGTTTAGCAAATTTGGTGTTTACAGTGAACATTTTACTATCATATATATTTCTAAGTCTGATCATGTTCTGTCTAAATCACAGAAATCCACTACTACAAAGATTGAAGTTATTAACAACTTGGTTGATGACCCAAATGGTCGAGGCCATCCAAATCTCTTCTTCTCATCTATATCAGGAACCATTTAAATATTTTTGTACAATCACAATGAATATGTCTGAAAGAACATGATATTTGAACAAAAAGTGTTATGTTCCAGTATCAACGTTAAAAAAAAACAACTAGATTATAATTTACGAATTTTATTTTTCGTACTTCACCTAAAATATACCATTCCCATGGAGTCTCATATTCTCATTAATGAGAGACAATTTGAGCATCTTCTTCCCGAGCAAAGAAAACAATTTTTCACAATTCGTAAGAATTATCAACTCACCACTTATCGACTGGAGCACCAATCTGCACCCAGCGCTATGTTAGGACAAGAAAGGATTAGCAGGTTCGCTAGGCTTCGTCATCCAAGGTGAATTGGTACCATTCATACTAGGAACAGGCGCCCAAGGATCCTGGGAAAGAATACAGAAAACATATATTACTATTTTATTCGCATAATGCTAATTAACTTTGCACTAAAGAATAACAAAACTTTCTCATCACTATTTCTAGATTAGGAAGAATCAGAATAAAAGCAAGGAAGAACTTTGATAGACTGAAAAATATGGTCTAGTCGGTTGTTGCTTGGAAAGGCCAATTCGTTTCTCTTCTTCTTTTTCATGCATGACCTCAGTCCCCAAGGCATAAGGCCAATTAACTCACTGTTCAGAGCATGTAGTAATAAAAAAGGGTACATCTGAGTAAGTATAACGCAATGGAAATCACACTTTAGAATCTCACCTGCGTGACATTTGCGGCTCCGAAGGCACTGCCGTTGCTACCACCGAACGGTTGGCCAACCTGTTGTTGGGGGAAACCCCCGAAAGAGGACGGTACTGTCGGATTCAAACCTATCGGTGGAGGGACGAAGCCCGTAGTAGTCGTTGACGGGGCGACGAAAGGGGCGAACGTCTGCTGCTTGATTTCGTTGATGGAAGGTTTCGGAGGCGGAGTGTTGAAGACAGGCCTCGAGGGACTTGCAGCAGCAGCGGGATCGGAGAAAGGGTTAGCGAGCAGAGTTGGGTTTGCTGGTTTACCTGAAAAGGCGATTATTCAGCGAAAATGCGGATAATTTATTCGGTTTACTTACTTGTCACTAAATTATCTAAATTGACCAAGGCAGAGTTTTCTCCTAGAAAACTCAGAGGAGTCTTCTTAGCGGCAGCCATCGCTCCGTCGTCCTGAGGCAACACGTCTCCTAATAGATTCAATTCGAAAGGATCGGAAACTCGTACCTGTAATGGTTGTTTAGACTGACGTCAGAATTAGTTCAGACCCCCCTATTTGGGGGGAATAGGTGACTTTCAGATTTTGTTACAAAATTCCAACTCACAGAAAACTGAAGACCATTGCCTGGCGGTGCAAAAATCAATGAAAAAAAAGTATATGAGCTATGCTGGTTCTGGCTCAAAATCCTATGCTTTCTTTTAGGGTGCTTCATTTTGCAAAATTTCAACCATTTCAAGGTCATTCAAATTGGTCGGCGAGGAAAGTGCTCGGCCATCAAAATGAAGTGAGTAAATATCGTTTGGGCGGTCGCATAAGATAAAATTGAACTTGGACATGAGGGTCGAATAAAAATGAATATAACAATAATTCTAAAACATGAAAAAAATCAACAATAAGACTTGAAACGACTATTAAATCATTATTGGTCGTGGGAGGGACTTTGAGTATATTGGGATTTGGTGTAGGTATTTATACTGAAAGCTGGCTTGTCAAAAAGGCACTAAGGAAAAGGAATGCAGAATTTATTGTCAGAGAAGAATATTATACGAGGGTAGAGTCTATACATTCCCTATTGGAACGGCAATAAAAATAAGAGTACAGTCATAAACATTTCTTGCCTGTGGCCCCTAGTCGCCCAGATAGTAAACGTGCTATCAAATGTAGTTGAGGAATAAAGGCTCGGCTAGCTGGACTGGCTGAATACTAATTTTTTGCCCGTTCACAATATGTCTTTATCAGTGCCGTGTGTTCGTGGGGTTAGGTGAGGTAGTGAGTTGTTTTGCAAACCAATTTTTGAAAATTTTTTCTAGAGATCAATTACCCCAACACCAAACCGATATTTTTGCACTCGACGCGCGTTTCGCTAACAAGGTTAGCATCTTCAGGATAAGCAAATTGATACTGAATCTAAAGAGAAGGGTTAGCTGTTTATATACCTAAAGTTTTTTGGTCCGATGTGGACTTTGTTTGTTAAATAATGATTATCCTAATTGATTTTTCGGTAATAAACTAGTGGAACCACTACCTGCAAATTAATTTGTCCGCTTTTTAATCTATTGTTGACAAATTCAGACAAAGCAGATATTGTTGATTTCATGCGAAATCATGACATAGAAATACCCGTTTGCCTCCATACTATTGTGTATTCAATCCAATTGAAATGGTTTGGGCCACAATGAAAGAAAGCTTCGGAAATGTAATCAGTCACCGACTTTGAATGCTGTAGTGTTTGACAATATAAGGCGAGTGGTGAATGAAGTAGGTAATAGTGATGCGTGGAAGAACTGTGTGACCCATGTTATAAAAGAAGAGAACAAATATTATGTGCAAAGTTCCATAAATCCGATAGTTATTCAACCCGATGATGATTCCACCTCATCCGAATATAGCGAAGAAGAATTTTGATTTTTCTAGCAATTTTTTTGGCTTCTATTATTTTGTAAATATATGTTTGACAAGAATCCGGTGTGATTATTTGTGTTTTCATTGTATTTTAGAGTTTTCGACTCGGAAATCAACTACCTTAAATTTCGAAGTTTTTCACAATTACCCATGGTGGAAAAATTCAGTTGAGATAACTTTTTCATGGGGAGATCAATTGCTATGATTGTAAGAATAAGTAACTGAAAAACTACCAGTGAAAAATAATATGCCGACGCCTATGTCGAGGCGGGAATTCCTTATCTGTGCTGTTCCATTTGGTATTGGAAATACTATATTAAATTATGACAGCCGTTTCGTTAATTAAGCAAGCACCATGAGAAAATGCCGTTTTGATGTTTCATCATTGTTATAATCGTCATTCAACCCCCATTCTCGAGTTCAATTTCATCTAACACAACCACCCAACCGATATTTGTTCTTTCCATTCTGACTGGCTGACCGACGTTTATCTGTATTATAAATTGGGTTGAATGTTCCACAAGGTACCGTTCGGAGTCGTTTCAGGTCTTACTGTTCATTTATTTTATGTTTCAAAATTATTATTATTATCATCACTTCTATTCAACCCCTATTCCCCGCCGGGCAGTTCAAATGACCTTGAAATGGTTGAAATTTTGCAAAATGAAGCGCCATAACAAAAAGCATGAGATTTTGATCCAGAACCAGCATAGCTCATATACTAACAAAAAGTAAGTTTGTAGCGAGATTCCCACTAAATATTCTATTTGTTATTTCAACAAAATTTATGTCAAAAAGTTCGTTGGGGATGATCACAAGCTTGTTAAATTACACTTTTTGACCTACACGCCACATGGCTTCTGCAGCAAGTAGAAAAAACTATTGTTACATATATATAAGTCACGCTCTATCCAGAACAAATAAATTGAGCTTAGCTATTCATACAGAACTCCCCCATTCCCCAAGCTCGTACTCACCTCACTGGCCCCATTCGTCTTCGGCGAAGCCGTTCTGTTCCTGTTGGTGATCACATCGAACTCATCCAAATCGGTGGAGCTCTGGCTAGTCGGAGACCAGGGGTCGTGCTTGGCGGGCGTCGAATGCGTTGCCCCCGAGAGAGGCACCGGGGAAGCGGCGGCTACGGGAAGCGGCCCCCAAGGATCCGGCCTCTGCGAAGAGGCTCCACCACCAGGAGGGGCCCACGGGTCGGCTAGAGTGGGAACGTCGGGGGGAGAGGGTACAGATGACGGATGCCAAGGAGATGACTGCCAAAAAATTAGAATATTTATATTTTACTATTGAATTCGGGTTGAAATAATTGAGATAATCCAAATTGCTTATTTCCATTTGGCTCGATATGAATTTAAAAAAAGAAGTCCACCTAGCGAACAATCTCAATAGCGTAGCTATTGAGTTGGTCGGATGTCTCTGATAGACAAGGCCAATAGCCGTGAAAACGAAGAAATGTATACATAATTATTTTTCTTCTTCTTCTTATTTTTCCAATTCGATATTACCCCCAGCTTCTAGGGCTATTCAGCCTTGAATTTTTAAATAAAATTGGAGGAATGAAATTATTATGAGCTTGGTTGATTCATACTATTAATATCAATATGGACAATAAGGACAGCCTCTGGTAAGTCGACCAGAACGAGCACACTTTCGTAGAAAAAAAAAACATTGCGCGTGCTTCAGAAAAAACAAATTTTCTATTGAGGGTTTTTTGTAATTTTATACTAGTCAGACTAATCAACACATAGGTACACAGTAAGTGACAGAATCAAAGCTCGATCTAAATGATATACAAAGAGGGTCGAAATTCAAATTTGTCTGTATTTCATCATCAGTTAATGCATTATTTTTCATATTCTTGGTTACATCTTGGAACAAAATTCAATTCTTAAAGAAGAAATCAGGGACTATCATCGACTTTCCCAATTTGCATAAAGGTTGAATGCAGGCACAGTGCTATAAATTTTACTGTGGTCCGTTTGTCCAAATGTGAGAGATATATCTGTCTTTACGTATGCTCAGTCTACAACCCCTTGAACAGCAGCTATCATCAAATTTTCGGACATCCCCGACATCACGGCGAGGTTAAGAACCGTGAGGAATTAGCTACTGAAATCTTCTTCTCATTATTCCTTGAATTTATTGCCTCAGCATCTAGGGCAAATTGCCTTTACTTGATTAATAAAAATTGAATTAGCTAACAATAAGAAGCTTCGTTAAAGTATTAAAAAAAAATGAAAATCGGTTTTAGTTTAGGTATAACAACAAATCACTCATTTCTCACACAAAAAGTTCGGTCAAAAGTTGTCATTTTATAAGTTGCACTTAGAGATTGTTCTGTATCTGTTGATTCCATATTTTTGACCTGATACATTGAAAACAAATTTAGTAGTTATGGTAGCAGAAGATTAATATAAAAAACAACAAACCAAGCCTAATAATATTATACATGAAAAAGTCAACGCTAAGCTTCAGCACCTTTCTAGCAATCTAAACAAATTTATCCACTTTTCTAACATACCGTAGACGGGTAGAACCCGAATATATTCAGATCCAAAGACTGGAAAACACAAGAAAATTTAATCGAAAACCTCAAAGAATAATCGAAGCACGATGAGAACTCACCTGCGGCCTCGGAGGTTGAGGCATTCCCCAAGGATCAGCCCGCGACGCGTCTACCAAATTCACATCCAACAAATCCACCATGTGGCTCTGTGACTTATCCTGCTGCGTACTCCTAAACAGTTGAAAAAAAAGTCATCTCACAAAATTCTGAAACACCAAACAGGAAAAACCTACTTGAAATCCTGCTGACTTTGGCTCAATGCCAACTGCAGGCGGACGTCGTCGGATTTCCTCTTCTGCTCCTCCTGCTCCGCCTCTTCTCGAGACATTGCTAGAGCGAGTTGAAGTTGTAGTTCTTCCTCGCCCGCCGTTTGAGGCCTCGCAATTTCTATTTCTCGCGGCAAATCTACTGAAAATCACAAGTAAAATCTCTTAGGAACGAGCACAGTACTCGGAAATCACCTGGCTAATACCACGACGGATATTGCCATATGTAATTCAGTCTCCGTCGAGGTACTAATCAAGCAAGCAGTCGCTTCAAGATCGCTATTGTTCTTACTTGTATCTCTGCTGCTCCAGTCGCCCCGCAACGCGGGGAATTTCGGGCTGCTGGGGGTGTCCAGGCCTCCGTCGCTTCCGAAACCGCTGGCGCTCTGGGCGAAGCGTTCTTTCGCCTTCAAGGCTCGCGCTCGCTCGTTTTTCAGTCTCTCGTCATCTTTTAATAAATTGACCAGTTGCTTGGCTTTCTCCCTTACGTTCAGTCCTTGATCTTTACCTAAAAAAAAATGTTGGTGGTATAGCAAGTCGAAAAATTATATTTTGATAAACAATGGACATTTGGTTTGAAAATATCGCGAAATTCTTGATTTAGTAAAAAGATAAACAAAAAATTATGAAAAATCTAAACATAATTAAAATTTAATCAAGGCAATGTGAAATTCCGACTTTGAAGTCAGAATTCAACAAAATTCCGAGTCCATTGGAGATAAATCGCGGTGTTCCACAAGGCTCGATTTTAGGTCCTCTTCTATTTTTATTTATTTGTAATACAATACTCTACAGGACATAGCCCAATTACAGACCAGGAAATAACATACATCACAAACAAGTGACTGTAAAGTATATAAACACTACAAACAATACAAACAAGTGACTATAAAGACTACACATTTTATATTTACTTTTTTCCATGATTGTTTTGGTAATGGTTCTAAATGTCGACTATGGTATGGGGCATTGTCCATGACAATGACAGACCCAGGTTCCACAAGTTGAATGATGCCTTCAAAACATTTTTCAAACACCTCCGCATTCATCTCTTCCTATATGCGTAACTATCAGACGACTACCTTTTCCAGGATGGCTGTTTTAATCCAACTGACAAACCTTCAATAAAGGCTGTCTGGTTAACTCATGTCTCGTCCATGAATTACAATTTTTTTAAGCTTCCGAAATTCGTCAATTTTTCTTAGATAGTTTCTTCTCCATGCTATTATTTCTTGACGTTCAATGAGAATGATTTTCCTGTCAATAAATGCCATCGGTTTTTAGGCTTAGCAGCCTTGAACTGCTTCTATTCTATCAATGTTATATTGATAAAAGGGGCTCCACACAACTGACGCGTTTTCTAACTTTGATCTTATGAAAGCATAGAATAAAGTTTTTAAGGTCGAAGTTTCTTTGAAATCCCTACTGCTACGAGCAATTAATCCGTACAAACGACAGGAGGAGGTACAACATTGTCGATATGCCTATTAAATGATAGTGCAGTGTCAAATGTGACGCCAAGATCGGTAAATGTTTCTAGTCTCAACAGGGAAACGTTTTCTATTGAATAATCAAAGATCAAGATATTCGTTTTCAAACTGTAGGACATGACCTTACATTTATCCGGGTGTGACAAATCCAAAAGCTACTAGTTTGTTCAGTAGAATGCCACGGTCAAGTCTGTCGAAGGCCTTAGAAAAGTCTGTGTAAATAACATCAGTTTGGGCCCTATTGTCAATAGAGTCAGCAATATGTTGGGTTACAGTCAGAAGAATGGTGACCGTTGAACAATTCTTCATAAAACTGTGTTGGCTTATAGTTATATTTCAACTGACATGCCGATATATAACTCGCTCCAGCAGAATCTCAGAAACCTTTGCAACGTTGCAAATAATAGAGATAGGCCGATATAATTTGAATTATCTCGTCTATCTCCTTTCTTGAAAATGCCGATCTTAAGCAGATATTAATTAGTATAGATAGAGAACGAGCAAGCACAAGTGCACAATCTCTCAGGATGAAAGCTGGAATGTCATCTGGACAAGTGGTCTTTCTACACTCACCTTCCTCCAGATACTGAAAATCCTTGAGCGTCTGTATCGCGAAGATGTTCTCCTTGCACTGCTGCCCCACCTTCTCCGAGCCGGTCTTGATGAGGTACTCGAGCAGGACGAGCGCCTTGTAGACGTGCCTCCAGTTCCTGCCGTGGTCGTTCAGCCTCTTCCACACCATCTGCATGATCTCGCTGAAGGCGACCACGTTATACGTGAGGTCGGCGATCTCGGCCATGATCGTGCTGCTCGGGCCCCACGGATCGTTCGATGTGGCTTCGCGCACCTTCTTCTGCGCATCCGAGTAGTTGTGCGCGAAGTTCTTCAGGTTACGGCGCAGACCGGCCACGTTGACTTGCATGTCGTGAGAGTTCCGCCTCATCTGTAAGCGAAACTGTTTAATATTGCTCTATTCAATGATAACATTAACTTTAGTGCGCATGATAAATATAAAACTCGGTCGAACAAACTGAAGACAAAAAAGTCAAATCAAATGAAATCAAAATGTACTTTATTGTCGAAGATGAAATCTCATTGACAAAGTGTTACTATTCTAAGAAATGTAGGATACACAACTTAAAAGATGTTGTGGAAGATAAAATATTATTGTCAAAGTGTTATTATTTTAAAGAATATAAGTTATACAAATTAAAAGTAATATTTGAACATTTGGTGCTTTCAGAATTTTAGGGTGAAAAAGTAGTCAGAAAGTAAAAATGTATATGCTACATATTGAAATAAATAATAATAATAATGGATATTCTCATGCAACACATTAATGTAAATATAAGAATATAAAAACTATTTTTGGGAAAGAAAGTTTCTGGCTTTCTACTACTCCATCTTGATATCGTAGTATTCCTGAAACTTTAATAAACATTTCAAATTTTGTCCCAAGGTAGACCTTTCAGTACTTGACATTTAAAAAAAAATATTAATATCGATTTACAACTTCACATTTTAGGGGGGTGTTTCCATTAAAAATGGGTCACACTGTATATAGGTATTTGTTTCGAAAGATTTTTTTTCTTTCGTGTAATTCAATGTTTATATGAAAGTAGCTGTTTCAGGAGGACTTTCTTTCAGTTTGTGTCTGAAAGTTACTTCTTTGCATGATCTTCACATCCATGTATAGAGTTACTTATTTTCAAATTGATTACTTCCTTCCTTTCTTTGGAAGATTCCCTCATCCTTTTTTTGTATAAAGATAGAGTAATAGAAAGCCAAAAACCAGTAGAAAGCCCAAAAATTAATCACTCCTAAAAATATAACCCCTTCAATTCAAATAAAAATTATAAAGCATAAAAAAATAAAAGTGAACCAGTAAATGTGAACATCAAACAAAACGTTAAAAAAGTCATATATTTTAAATACCAGTAGCTAGTGAAACACATTAATTAAAATTAATTGTTTATATAATTTAAATTTCTTTCTGAATAGAATTTCACAGACTTTTTAAATTTAGTGGTACATGTTGCCTTTGATCTCAATTGGCAAACGGTTAAACATTTTTTTTCCATTATATATGAGAGACCTCTCAAATTTTTGACATTGGAATCGGTAAAGCTATATTGAGCTCATTTCTGGTATTTCATCGTGGCGAAATGAAAATTTCCGTCCTGTATTTTTTTTGCATCAGACATATCATTTCAAATAGAAGTATGGAAGGCAAGGTCAAGATTTTATGCTTTCTGAATAAAGGTTGACAGGAATCCCTAAATTCTACACATATTTCTAACTTTTTTGTAGTACAAACACCCTTTATCAAACATGTATTGGCAACACGTTCCCTAAAAACAGATACCGTATTTCAGATGGGATTCAGTGAGAGCAAAGTACACATTTTTTTGCCATATAAGTGCCCAATTCATTTGCTGATACTCTGACTGCAAAGCATCCTGATGCCTTTTTTTACATAGGGTACTTATGTGACCTTTAAAATCCAAACTTTTATCAATTTGTAATCCCAGAAATTTTGCTGACATTTTGTTTTCTATTAATTGAGTACCCAGATAGATATCTAGTGTGGAGCACTTGAGGGTGATGATGCTAGTTTTTGAGATATTAAATGACAAGAGATTAGCATCACGAAAGTCTTTTATTTTCAAAATATCTATGCTGGTCAAATCATGCAGTTCCCTTTCATTCTTGCAATGCCAAAATAATGCAGTGTCATCAGCGAATTGGGTTGTTTCTGCGGTTAAATTAATGCGGGCTAGGTCGTTTATATATAACAAGAAGAGAATTGGGCCTAAAACCGATCCTTGTGGAACACCACAAATAACTGTCTGGAGATGGGATATGTTGTCCGGGAGTTCGACTTTCTGAGTACGTTCTGACAGGTACGTTCTGACCATTTCAAAGATATATCTCTAAAGCCTTACACTTCCAGTTTTTGCAGCAGAATTTCATGATCCACGCAATCGAAAGCTTTTGAAAGATCGCAAAAAACTGTCGCTGCTATTTCACGATTATTTGAATTGAGACAAACGTTTTCCAGTATCTGAAGGGTTTCAGAGTTTTTCAAACTCTGAAATAGGCCTAAAGTCGGCAGGTTTGTTAGTGTCGCATCCTTTGTGCAAAGGAATAACAATGGCTGTTTTTAAACATGCCGGAATTACACCCGTTATGAAGCTTGTGTTTATTCAATTCAAATGTTTAAATACTAGATGGTACCAAAAGTTTGTAGACTAACACACAGATGGCCCTACGAGTATTAAGTCCATATGATTTTTCGACACGTGTACAAATTTCACAGCTGTCGGACTACTAGTTTGTGGGATAGAACATTTTGAGTGAAGCAACTTTTGTTAGTTTGAAGAAAATGAAAATAAGTAATTTCGTTTGTTGATAAAGCATTGCTTCTAAAGCACCGCTCTAAGAGCGCCTTTTATCTGCCCCCAGCGATTTTTATCTGTTCTCGCAATGCTCGCTGTAAAGAAATTTAGCGTCTATAAAGAGGTAATCGTTGAAACTGAGGTCTATTTTGAGACTGAAAACAAATCGTACTTTAAAAATGGCACCGAAAAGTTGTATGACCGCTATAATCAATAAAATCAAATTTTATAAAAAAATCTCTATGTTAGCCTACAAATTTTTCAGCCCAAGTGTTTCAGCGAAACAACTTTTGTGTTTCTGTAAGCTGTTTAGTGGAAACCCCACGATATATTGTCAGTTGATCCACTCCATACGGCACCAAATGGATATCAATCAATCAATCAAAATATACTTTATTGTCGAAAAAACTCTTGTTTTGTTGACAAAGTAGAATATACACGTACAGAAAAAAAATTTAGGCAAAATACACACAATTATGTAAAATATAAATAATATACAAACAAGCAGTATATAAACATATACATTTATCAATTATACATTTTATTCAATAGAATAAGTGTCAACGAATAAATAAAATATCAATCATGAATGTTATTTGAACATTTTGTCAATTTTACGACTTATAATTTAACAGTCTAATCGAGTATGTACAGTACCCGCAATAAATTACAATTTCACTGGTAGTTGTCATTGTAAAATTCTTGCAAACTATAATAGGGTCTACTCGCGAGAAGTTTTTTGTGTATTTTCTGAAGCTGGCAATACTATCGTAGCTATTTCTAAAATGAGACGGTAAGTGATTATACATTTTAACACCGTTATAGAAAATGGAGTCCCTTACTAGGGATGAAGAAGACAATGGTAATTTAAAATTAGTTTTAGATTTTAGGTGAGTGCTGTGACACGAAGAAATATATTCAAATTTTGACCTATGTTTGTGTATAAGACACGCAGTTTCCATTACAAAGAGAGCCACAACTGTCAATAATTTTTTTTCTGCAAATAACTGCCTACATGAGTTGCGCGGTCCTAGTTTGAACACATATCTAATGGCTCTCTTTTGCAGTTTGAGTACTGAATCTAGCAGAGTAGACTTACATACCCCCCCGAAAGGAATGGCATATCTCAGTTGAGATTCAATTAATGCATAATATGCATTCATAGCCGTGGCAGTACCAAGTTCCCTTGAAATAATTCTCATTGCATAGCACCCTGAGGAGATTTTATTCTTCAATTGGTTGACGTGTGCTTCAAACTTCAATTTACTGTCAATATATAGGCCCAAAAATTTTGTGCAGTCTTTATTTTCAATCTTCTCATTTTCTAGAGGACTTTTTAGCCTGAAATCCGAATTGATTTTCTTTGATGATTTTATGAGCAATAAGGAATTCATTGAGCCTTTTTTTCACTAGTTTTTCAATTATTTTTGCTAGGATCGGTATAGTAACTTGGCGCAGTGGTAGGAGAGGTTTTTCGGTGCCCCCCAAATAAACAGAACTATTACCAAGTTCACGGTAACGATAATCGTTACAACTTGTATTCAAGTCACAATAATTTGTTTTCTCAAAAAGTTACAGAAATAAAAATCAAAAGTGAAAACTATCGAGGAGAGATACATACGTATAAGAAAATAAATATTTCGGGTGTGGTAAACGTCTGTCGAAAAACAACCACTTCCCCAGCTAATACCACGCTGGATATTGAATCTACTTGATCTACTTGAATAATTTCAGCATGGTCCCGCTGCTGGGTAAACGAGAAACATCTGCCTATCGGATATAATTCAATATCCATCTTAGTATTAGCCGGGGAACTAGTTGTTTTTCGTATTAACGTATTCCAAAAACACTTTATTGTGAGATTTTCACTAAATTGTTTTACAAAAACGCAACACGTGTTTCGCCATACAATGGCTTCATCTGGCGTGTCTTTCAACTAATTCTACAATTCCATACTAAATATATATATAGTTTATGGAGTACCTGAAATCAAAGTACCTGTAAACGAAGTACCTGGATTTTAAGTAGCTGATATTTTACCTGAGTTTCTAACGAATTAAATTACTTGCACTTATGTACCATTTTCACATTTGAAAAAATATATTCAGTAACGGAGAGTTATTGAGTTCTAATTGATCATTCAGTAAATTACCCGAATTCCTGAATCTATTGATTTCTAAACATTCTAGAAGATTAAGTTTCAAACTCTTTTCTTCTAAATGTAACACCTCGTACTCATGATTGAACTCATGTCCTTCTGCTAAAAGATGGTTTGCAAATGTGGAATTGGTCTTTCTATTTACAAAACTACTCCTATGTTCTTTAATTCGTTGGAAAAATGTTCTTCCTGTTTGGCCAATATACAGTTTTGGACAAGAGCCACAAGTCAGCTTATATACTCCTGATCTATCCGACACCAAAGTTTTGTCCTTATTGTTTTTGATAAATTTACTTAGGTTATTATTCCTTCTATAAGCTACGTTTACGCCTTCTTTCTTCAAAAAACGGGCAATATTCCTGTTTGGTTCCCCCACATATGTCAATG